TTCACACAGATGCTCCACCCAACACTTACCTGTATTACCAGATTTTGTCAAGCATGCAAAAATATGTATGCTGTAAATTGTGTTCAAAATTAGCAGTAACTTCCCTTTTGTGCTCCTGATTTGTGTCTGACCAGAAGTTATGTTCTAGATAGAATACGAGTATGCTGCTTTTAACTGCATTTCTTGCACTATTCTCCTCTATCACCATGACAGGCACAAAATGTTGCGATTTAGGCCATTTTTGCTGCCCAGATTTACATTTAATGCCCATTACATTTATATTTATTTATTTTACATTTATTAAAATAAGCTGAAATATAAATGAGAAACTTAAACTTATTTTCAGTTAGTTGCTGAGACAAGGTTTCGCAGTTTTTTCATAAATTAAGTACTAAAATTATGAAATGCTTGGTTTTTGTTTATTCCAATTCAGTTTTTGCCTTAGATGCTGACATGGCAATAAAAATAATTTACTACTACTAAAATGACTAAAATAAGATGAATAGAAATGATTAATAGAAAACTATTTTATTAAATTACAATTACTAAAATGTAAACTAAAAATAAAATGAAAAAGTGTGAAAATAAAAGCTAATTCAAAACCTTAGTATACAATACTACAATAGTACATAATTCTAAATTACACTTTACTTAAAGATTCCACAACCAGTTTCACTCAAAGTATTACAGCATATTAGCACAGTGTGCAAGTGGTTAGTATTTTGTATTTAGACTTGGTTAGCAGTAAGTGGATGAGTTGTTTAACGATTTGCACTAAACCCAGTAAAGCGGTCATCTTACATTCTCCTTGTTTGTGTCTTAGGAGCATCAACTCCTGCCTTTGGCCAGGCATCTGCAGGAATGTCAGTGCCATTTGGCAGCCCTGGAACCCCAGGTTTTGGAGCAGTAGGTGCCTCACCGTTTGGTAAAATACAGTCACTACCGATTTTTAAAAATAATATTATATAATAGTTCTATCCATTTTTTTCCTTTTTATAAATGTATATTTTAATCCTTTTAGGTTCCTCACCAGCCACCTTCTCTATCGGAACGGGATCCAAGTCCTCTGGGGCTCGTCGATTACAAGCACGCAGACAGCACCCGAGGAAGAAGTAATGTGGCTGATGTGAGTCCTGTCCCTTTCATTATTGTCGTCTGGACTCTGCAACTACTCCTCCGGCTGTCCCATCTGCCCCAGACACTGCTGCTACTGCTGCTGGTCCAAACACAACAAGGCTCTCAGCCAGACCTCATCTCTACAACCCTCCAGACTGTGTCAGGGCTGGTCAGGCATGTAGGATCAAGGCTCATGGGGTGTAGATTTTAGAGTACTGGGCGGCCCCATCTCTGCAGTTGGTTGCGCCCACCGAGACTCATCACAACCTCGCTAATGGAGTCTGTAAATGTCTGATGAGGACTTCTGGTGTTGGGGAAGGATGGCGAACCGGAGGGAATTATACTTGAAAGAAAAAGAGACTTTCAAATCTGGACTCACACATGAATTCAGTCCAGGCCTGTTAAAAGAAACGGATCTTATTTTTGACTCTTCAGATGCTCTTTATTTTAGATCCAGTGAGTACACCTTTTTTTCCCTTGCAAATTTAGTGTAGATTTGTCATGCTTTTCCATCATGCTTAGCAGAATCTTAATTTTGTTAAGCCTTCAAAACATGAATATTTTACCCGTTTCATTTACAAATTTATTTATTTTTTGTCTGAGTGAGCTGCATAATAAACAAATTTTACATCGCTTTTTCTGTAAGCAACATTTATGTGCCTGTTTTCCTGCATTCGTTTATCATATGTTGGACGTCTGTCTGTTTAAAACCAAAGCTGATGTTTTTTAGTGCGACACGTTGACCTCCGTCACACCATGCCCGTTTTACTACCTCTCCATTTTAAACGTGCATCTGTGTCCCAGCTGATATGTTTTACTGCAGATTCGATGTACTGTTAATTATTGAGTAATTAAAGTCAGCAATTAGCGCAAACATGTAGGCAAACCCACGATTCTATAGCTGTTGCATCTGCCATCTGTGTGTATTTGACTGTCAGGCACTGGGTGTAGCTCTCAATTTATTTTTTATCCATTCATTGCTCTGTGTGCCTTAGTGTGTTTTGCTTCTGGTTACGTATTATGGATGATGTCAGATTTGTACTCTTGAGACATGGATGCCTGTTCTTTCATAATAATGCTTAAGAGCATTTAGATGATTTCAAAAGAATATTATCTCAACTTCAATTATTTTTGATTACTGACTAAAAAGTCTCTGTAAAAGTGCATACTTGAGTTTGAATATTTTTTGGAAATAAACATTTGACTGAGTGATCAATTGAAATAAGTGCAAAAAATAACTCTTAAGTGCCCCCAAAATGTGAATTTCAGGAGCATAGAGGATGTGGCGTTTGCTTTGCTGAATGTTTGGTTTGAAAATAATTTAGCTTATTCAGATTCGATTCAATCTAGAGAGGCTTAAATGCTATTTTAAATTTTGTTTCTCGTTTTAATGTGCATGTAAACCATAACTGAATTTTTGTATGAACCATTCCTGGCTTTGTAGGAATTCTATGGTTTGTGCATGCTTGTGATGTGTTTTAAAATACTAAGATATAGCAAATACTCAAGCTGCGATTGAAACGGCATGTCTTTAGAACGTTCCTGAATCAGCATCTGTTGGGAAATGCAGTCAAGGCATTATGTAGACCGCCGATACCCATTCTCAGGTCTGATAAGTGAAAGAGCTGTGTATGATGTGTTTTCAGTCAATATACAATGTTGTATATCCACAAAACACTGGATTTAATTAGTACTTCAATGCACAAATATGGAAGCACAAACATGCCATAGTTTTTTACCCCCTCATATTCTTTGACCTGAAAAATCCACTGAATTGGGGAGAGCAAATGTTTTTTACAGTGATGTAGCCATCTCTGTCCCCCTTGCATGACATTTCTCACTTGGGTCTTAACAAGATAATTTGATTGTAATTAATCACATTTTCAAAGTATTCTCATGCCCAGACTGATGCAAGGAGGCATGAGCCCAGGCTTTCTGTTTATTAGAAAGCCGTACCAAATACAAGCGAGTCGTGTAGACTATTGAGAAAATTAGATGAGATGAGAGCTGGATTTCTCAAGCTGTGAATGTTTGAGAGCAGTTGTAACTAGTTGTATGTTTTTCAGACGTTGCTGTTAGTGAATGCTCAGTTAGTGTGTAAATGAGCATTCCCACAAACCCTCAAAGCGTGAATGGAGTTCTGAATGAAGCGGCACACGGATTGTGTTGTGTCTGCTTAAATGCTCTGATTATGACATGCTGGTTTCCAATAAAAATGTAAAGTTGACTTGCTGTGGATCTTAATTATGCTCATCAGTGGCGTTCAATGCATGACAGACAACTCACACATTTCTAAATAATGAATCTGAGGTCTGGCTTAAAACAATATATCATTCATCACATTTCAATAAAAGCAGGAGTCAGTGGTGGGTTAACTGAGAAGAGATGATTTTCAAGTACAACTTCAGGGTTCTTGCTTTTTGGGGGGTTTTCTGTTTCTCTTCCTTTTCTTTGAGCTTGGATTTGTCAGTTGATTGAGTGCAGTCATCAAAGCGTGAATGGAGTTCTGAATGAAGCGGCACACGGATTGTGTTGTGTCTGCTTAAATGCTCTGATTATGACATGCTGGTTTCCAATAAAAATGTAAAGTTGACTTGCTGTGGATCTTAATTATGCTCATCAGTGGCGTTCAATGCATGACAGACAACTCACACATTTCTAAATAATGAATCTGAGGTCTGGCTTAAAACAATATATCATTCATCACATTTCAATAAAAGCAGGAGTCAGTGGTGGGTTAACTGAGAAGAGATGATTTTCAAGTACAACTTCAGGGTTCAACTTACTCTTTTTGGGGGGTTTTCTGTTTCTCTTCCTTTTCTTTGAGCTTGGATTTGTCAGTTGATTGAGTGCAGTCTCTGTTCTCTTGTTCCTCATCAGATGGACCAGATTGATGTGTGTTCTGCTTTTCCTCACCACCAGACTGTATATATATATATATATATTAATGCAAGTCAATATTATATACAGATTCGATTTTATTTTATATATGCATATATGAATATTAATTATTAAAAAAAAATCTTAATTTTAAGAATGTATAAATTAAATAACAAAACATTAATATTGTAATTTTATATATATATATATATATATATATATATATATATATATATATTAGGGATGCACAATATTATCGGAATCGGCCGGTAATGGCTTTAAATGTAAATATCAGTATCGGCCCGATATGAAAATTTATGCCGATGTCTTGCCGATAAGAGGAATGCGTTAACACTCATGTGCTCAGGGTGTGCTAGCGGTTAGATCATGTCAGCAGTGTGGCTCATTCTTGAAACAAAGTTTTGTCTGAATGATTATTAGATTGACTGTTTGGATCGCTGCATTTAATCTGTGAAAGCATGTACAGAATGACAAGTTTGGTGTATGATAGAGTAAACAGTAATAGCAGGTGCAGCAGCGGCAGCATTGACAGCCTCCCCCAGGTCCTAACGCCCTCTCAGTAAGGAGTTTTAATCTGTAGGGGGCTCTGTTGGCCTACTTCTAATTAAATTAAAAGTTAAATATCCTACACAAATAACATTTAGACTGTTTCTCTGATTAAAAAAAGCAGTAATTGATGTCATAAAATAATGAGTATGTTTTGATTTAAAGGTCAGAAGCTATAGCTTACATGAAAGAAAATCGCAAACATGACACTTGTAAATTAAATAATTTTATACTGATTTATTCATTAATGTGTAATATGTTTTATTTTTAATATAATTAAGCTCTTAAAGATTTTCAGAATTTTTACAACTCTTGCTTTAGACCATCTACAAATGTTAAATCTTAAAATAAAATGTTAAGGTTAACCTTGCATCTTTCTGGGGAAAAAATGCAGCGACTGATATATAGTTTATTCATAGTTATTTTCAAAGCTTCAATGTACTGTCAAAAAACCTTCATTATTGTTTATTTAATTCTAACAAATAAGTTCTTGTTAAAAACTAACCAAAATTAAAAATATTTTTTTTATAATTTCAGCACAGGAGACTTGGTGTTGTTTCCAACCAAAGGAAATATATCGGTATCGGTCAAAATGAGTTGAAAAACATCAGCATATCGGATATCGGCAAAAATCCAATATCGTGCATCCCTAATATATATTTAATAATTATGTCCAAACCCATATTCTTCAGTATTAGATATGAAGTCAAATACCCTTTATTTTTCATTATGGCTGGTTTTGTTCCCTGGAGCTGCACAAGCATCAATTACGTTGCTGCCAACTCGGGGGTTTAGGAGGAAATCAGGAAGACAGCTGGCCTACAGAAACATTTAACATGAACAGGGAGCAAGATAACATGAGGTTCGACTCATTTCATGTTTTCCAAACTGTAGGTAGGTCTAGTATAATGTTCTACCTTGTCCTGCAATATAATGTGTCCTGCTTTATAAAGGAAGTGATTGTGAAAGTCTGTTTTTGCACTGAAAACCAGAAGATCTTGGAGATGAAGATCACACAGAAACGTCTTCCCAGAAAGACAATCAAGATTCTCAAGCCTGAGATGAAGAAATGGGAAATAATGGTAAAAAAAAAACTAAACAATCACTGGGAATGCACTGTTAAATTCAGGCAACATTTCAGTCATCATCTACTTTCCTTCATGTCATTCTAAAGCTGTATGCTGGAGAAGTTACTCGAAATGTTTTGTGATGTGCAGAGGACAACTTAACGACTTGCTGTTCCTTTATATGAAAATCTCTCTCTTTTTAAATAGTCAATGTCATCATCAAGAGTTGTTTTCAGAGTGTTCACCCGCACATAGCGTGGAATTACATCTGAAGAGATAAAACATAAAAACAAACCTTTCCAGAATCTACCAACAGCAGAATATACAGTGGTCTTAATATATACACTGCTGTTCAAAAGTTTGGGATCAGTAAGATTTTTAATGTTTTAAAAGAAGTCTCTTCTGCTCATCAAGGCTGAATTGATTAAAAATACAGATTTTTTTTTTAATATTGTTAAATATTTTTACCATTTAAAATAATGGTTTTCTATTTGAATATACTAATTAAAATATAATGTATTCCTGTGATGCAAAGCTGAAGAAGAAATGGGAAATAATGGTAAAAAAAAAACTAAACAATCACTGGGAATGCACTGTTAAATTCAGGCAACATTTCAGTCATCATCTACTTTCCTTCATGTCATTCTAAAGCTGTATGCTGGAGAAGTTACTCGAAATGTTTTGTGATGTGCAGAGGACAACTTAACGACTTGCTGTTCCTTTATATGAAAATCTCTCTCTTTTTAAATAGTCAATGTCATCATCAAGAGTTGTTTTCAGAGTGTTCACCCGCACATAGCGTGGAATTACATCTGAAGAGATAAAACATAAAAACAAACCTTTCCAGAATCTACCAACAGCAGAATATACAGTGGTCTTAATATATACACTGCTGTTCAAAAGTTTGGGATCAGTAAGATTTTTAATGTTTTAAAAGAAGTCTCTTCTGCTCATCAAGGCTGAATTGATTAAAAATACAGATTTTTTTTTTAATATTGTTAAATATTTTTACCATTTAAAATAATGGTTTTCTATTTGAATATACTAATTAAAATATAATGTATTCCTGTGATGCAAAGCTGAATTTTCAGCATCATTACTCCAGTCTTCAGTGTCACGTGATCCTCCAAAAAAACATTCGAATATGCCAATTTATTATCAATGCTGGAAACTGTTGTGCTGCTTAATATTTTTTTAGAAACGGTTATACTTTTTTCAAGATTATTTGATGAATAAAGTTAAAAAGAACAGAATTTATTTAGAATAGAAATCTTTTCGAACAATATAAGTCTTTATCGCTTTTTTATCAATTTAACACATCCTTGCTGAATAAAAGCATTAATTTCTTTTAATTTTTTTTTTATAAATTACAGACCCCAAACTTTTGAATGGTAGTGTATATTGTTACAAAAGATTTATATTTTGAATAAATGCTGTTCTTTTAAACATTTTATTCATCAAAGAATCCTGAACAAAGTATCACAGATTCCAAAACAAAATAATAATAAAAAAATATATATATATATATATATATATATATATATACAGTGGGTAC